TGGTTGCACAAAGGAATGCTCGTGAGCGTGAGATTGGGGAAAGTGATTGATCTTGCAATAGGTTGCTCTCACGGACTGATTTGTCTACTGTAATTTTGCACTCTCTCTCTCTCTCTCTCTCTCCCTCTTTCTTTCACTAGGCGTAGGGGACGGGTAAAGTCCCCTGGCCTTGTGGCCCCCCATGTGTTATGGGGCTTTGGGGGCAAGTTCAGTATGATATCTGCGTGAGTGGGGTCCAATCAAGACAGTATGATATCTGCAACCTCTCTCTCTCTCTCCCGGGCGTGGGGACGGGTCAACGTCCCCGGGCACCTGGCCAACCCAACGTGTTGTTGGGCTACAGGGAGTGAGGTACGAACATGGACTCCACATGAAGGCTACAGCCGTAAAGTATGCGATAACAGCCACTCTCCCTCTCTCTCTCTCTCTCTCTCTCGCTCTCTCTCTTCTTCTTCTGCTGCACAGCCAAAGGAGAGCAAGCACCCCCCGCGCGTGCGAGCGCGCACTGGTCCATGCGGTCTGAACTCTCTCGCTCTCGCTCTCGCTCTCTCTTCTTCTCCCAGGCATGGAGGGCGGGTCAGGCGCCCCGGCAACTTGCCCGCCCGCAGTCGTTTCCAGGCTTGTTGGATGAGCGTGAAAGTTGCACGACGCGATTTTAACTGAAAGGAGTGAGTTATCAAAGTATTTCATGTGTGTTTTCAGCCATCCTCGTCGCGTTTCAGAAACATGCGTCCGTAGTTCAAGACCCCCGGTGCCATTACGAATAGCCTAAGCAGCCCTGGAAAAGCACGAGCGGAGAAAAGAACAACAGTCAACTGCTGACATTCCCTCTACATCCCCGTCAAGTGGATCAGGCTGGGATCGAAACAGAGGCCGCTGAAACATTCCAGGAGCTGATACTCTCTTCTCTCTCTTTCTTTCTTTCTTTCTGCGGGGCGTAGGGGTCGATCACTCGACCCTTCTCTCTCTCTCTCTCTCTTTCTCTCACCTGCCTGCTGACTGACTCACTGGTCTGCCTGTCCATCCGTCTCCCTCCGTCTCCATCCACCATGTCCATTGCATCATCGCCTCCCCTCACCGATTTCTCTGAGCCCTCCGGCGCGAAGTCGAAGCTCTCGAGCAGCGCATCCAGGACCCTCTTGTTGAAGGCCTTGTCCTCTCCCAAGCGAGGAAGTGGAAGAGGGAGAAAAGATCAGATGAAGAACAACGGCCAGGAACCACGAGAGATGCTAAAGTCTAGAGTCTAGACCTCTCCTCGCCGAGGTAGTCACCTGAAGCAGAGCGAGAGAAGTGCCCCATGTCGTAAAGCTGGCGCCCTAAACTGAAAGCCCTCTCACCGCCTATTGTCGTCTTGTCCAGGCCGATCTCCGTGTTCCGGAAGAGCTTGGCCAGCGAGCCTGCTACGTTTCTGTGAGCAGAGCTCCCCCGGCTCCCCCCCGGCTCCCAAGACCGGCTCCTGGGTCTTCGTTCTCGACGAGCCCGGCTCTCTTCAGGTGCTCCAGGCCGCGCCTTCCGGAAGCGACGGGAAGGCCAGGGCCAGGGGAGCTGATAGCCGAGCTGCTTGGGCTTCAAGTTGAACTTGCTCACGCCTTCCTGCACCCAGTACACAGTACAGGCTCCGGGATCACGACACTTGTGTGTTATCCTGCAGCTCCCGTTTCAGCCGCTTCTGATCCAAGGCCGCAGTGGCACCTCGAGTCACTTGAGAGCGCTGCGCCCGCCACGCTGGGCTTGGCCGGTCGGGCTGGGCCCAAGGCTTCGCGTGCGGAGCTCCTCGCCCTCCTCGTCGTCCTCGACTAAAAAAGGCTGATGCAACACACCCCCCAAGGCTGCTCAAGAGGCGGGTCCTCCAGAGGCGGCTCCTTGCAACACTGCACCAAAAGAGAGCGCAGACACTTCCAACTTCCACAGGCTGTTCTGAGCCCGCCTGCCACGAAGCCCCCAAACCAGTGCCGGAGCTGCCTTTATTACGAGAACAGACTTCAGGCATGACAGCTCAGAACTCAGAGGCTCAGCCCTCCTCGTGGCGGAGTCATGTGTCCTACGGCGAGGCGGCATTCGAATTCGAAGAATGCGCGCGCGCGCGCGCGCTTTTGCCTTTGCCTGCCTTTGTCCCTTTGCGCTTGCACGCCCGACTGCACAGCTGCATCGCTTCCTTGTGCTTTGACTTCCAGCGACTTCACCAGAGTCAAGAGTGCGCCAAGGGCCAAGATCCTCAAGCGATGTTCCTGGCAAGCGGACATCTGCAAACATCTCTCGGCAAACATCTCCCTATTTCGAGTTTGTTCCTGCTCTGGTTGGATGACGCTGGCATGCTCGCTCGAGGTGTACTTTCCCGTGGCGATCCTCAGGACTCACAGTCATGCAGAAGACCCTCTCGATGCCTCTTTCCTGTCGACCTTGCATTAGCTGGCGCCTGGACAAGGACTCGATCATGCGTTCCAAGACGTTCCGCCTTGGAGAAAGGCAGCAAAAGTCCCCCAAACGAGCTGCGAAACTCCCACCAAGTTCGGTGCTTCTGCAAATCGCAATCGAAAATGAGGAACACCGCGAGGACCGCCGAAGCGGCTTCCCCAAACAGAGTCTGCGAGACCTCCCGCACATTGCGCATCTTTTGCATGCCTACACTGTGTACGCACGAAAACGCATCCATGTCTATGTATGTGCGCGCGCATGCCAGCGAGTAGCCGCACGCACACGTAAACACCCGCACAGACACGCACAGAGACACACACGGACAGTCCATGTTGGGTTTTTGGCGAAACTGTCAGCTGCCGTACCCCAGACCTTCGACCTACCCCACAGTACCGCAAAAAGTAGTTGACTCCTGACCTCAACCAGCCTGTCCAAACCACAACCATCCCTCATCCCACGGACGAAACCCTCCAAGTACAACGAATTGCGGCAACCGTGCGGGATATCTCAAGCCCTATACTCCCATGTGCCCTGCTGAAAACCAAGTAGCCAAGCAGCAACATGAAGGCCTTTTGAACAGGAATTGTGCACACACACACACATAATTTGTGGGATTCGGCAAGAGTAAGAAGCAAGGAGAAAAGAGGGGTAATCGGGTAAGGCAGGGTTGCTGTTGTTTGTTTCGCGCAAGCCACGGCTGCTGCAAGCTATTCAAAACACAACAGTGAGGATATATAATCAATGTACAGCGAGTACTCTCGCTGCATTAGTACGTTCAAGATGTCAGAAGTGTTCACGCAGGTGCACGGAGGTGATCAGTGTCCGCTTCGCTGGCACAGGTACCACCATGGGCCTGTGCTCCCTGCAATGCGGAAAAGCAGATCGATGTAGGAGTGACCCTCTGAACCTCTTTTCTCACAGCAAGGTCCTCTGCAGAAGAGACAAACGGCGCTAGCTTTGCCTTCAAGAGGCCGAGCGCAGCCGCACTGTCTCCTGCCGTCCACCCTAGACGTCGCCAGACGTTCGTTCCATGATCGCCAAGGGTCAGTCTCGAAAGCTCCCGTTGCTTTCATACCGCCTTTGCTCTTGGCCCTCATTCCTTCTTTGCCTCGCCAGGCTAACCATCCTTGGAATCTTAACTCCGGGGCAATCCCAGGGTTTGCTCAGGCTTCCTAACCTCGTTCGAAACGGTCTCCGGGAACTTCCCAGAACAGCCCCCAACTGCAAAACAAGGACATTCCCTCCCAGGGAAAACAACCTCAGACTCAGACCCTTGCGGCACACTTTTGTTGCCTGTTTTTGCTCGCAGGTCACGGCTTGAGCCAAAACACGAAACGCAAACTCCACTCACGAAAACAACACTCACGAAAACTACAGCGGCTACAGCATATGACGCTACGACGGGACTTCATAGATGACTGCTTGGTCATGATTGGTTTGACAAATAACCAGGTGCCACAGGTAGGCGATAGGTGGACAGATTGCGAGATAGGAACGGTGACAGAGTATTCACTGAACATATGACAGATACGCAAGGCCTGATGGCTTGGGGTCAGATGTATGCAACTGCCCGAGGACATGAGCTGCTTTGGAAGAAGAACACAGCGTGGCCTGCAGCATCCAGTGCTTCTGCGCGTAGCTGGAGTTTCCACTCACAAGGACTGGCAGGACGATTTGATCCAGGAAGACGCCAAGCTCGTAGCCTGCAAGTGAAGGGACGGCGCTTCCTCCCTCTCCAACTTGCCTACGGGCGTTCTGCCAAGAGTCTGAGGGACTCCCCGAAGAGCTTGGAGACCAGGACCTGAGATCAGCCCAGGCCCCCAGGGCTTTTCGAGGCGAGGCAGGCGAGGCCGAGCGCGCCACGACCAGTCGCAGCGCCAGCTTCGTCATCTTCAGCCCCGAAGACCTGCGCCAAAGGCAGCGGCCCCTTTCCCAGTTCCGAACTCCTTTTTGACACTTCCGCCGACTTGGGCCGAGGCAGGCTGTTTCGAGTCCTCAGCTACAAAATGNNCCCCCCCCCCCCCCCCCCGGACGCTCCGGTTCCGCAAAGCCGAGGTGCAAAGAGACGGAGAAGAAGCGGCGAACGGCCGCGATGAAGGGTTTGCCTTTGTGCCACAGACACGGGTTCGGGAGCTGAGGCTGAGATAGGCTGAGGGCTCAGGAAAAGGCTCGACAACTCCGTGGACTCGCAGGACCTCGACTCGACTGCCCCCGGGAAATGCTCCGCTCTTTTTCCGTCCTGCACGGTCTACGCTCGCCGGAAGCCGCTAGCCGCTGAGGGCGACGGCTCCAGGAGTTTGGCCGTCAGGAGCAGGGCTAAGTGCCGCTGCTTCTCCACCTCAAACAGGCAGAAGGAGTGAGAAGGAGTGAGAACGCCGCGTGCGTGAAATATGGCCGATACCTGGTTGGGCTCTTCCACGCTCTGTTCGCACAAGTTCGAGAGCAGGAGCAAGGCCTCACGGCACCTGAAAGCCAACAGCCGGCCGAACCCCAAAACGGTTGCCTCTTCGCTCGCTTTGGCTTTCCCGGATCGGCGCGCGCCTGGCGGCCGCATCCTGCGAGCAGCGAGCGCAGCGAGCTCCCACAAGGGCCCACGGGCCGCGAGGCGCCCTTTGGCTCGAACGACGCTCGGTCCTCGCCCTCACCCTCGCCGTCCTCTTCAGTGACGCGGGGTGGCAGCTGCAAGCCCCCCTCCAAGGCCTCAGCGCGCACCTCAGAACGCAGCTCTTTGCCATCTCACACGTCTCACACGTCTCGCACTTCGGTCTGCTTGCACCTGATCCAAGACATCGCGGAAGGACGGCGCCTCGGGAGGCAGCGAAGCATGGACGAGTTCTGCAACTTTCGTCAAGTGCGCCTCGCTCGGCGACTTCGACATCGGGAGTCGTCAACACATGGCAAGATCGCTCTCTTGCCTTTCTTGCTCTTCTATCTTCTCTCTCTTTCTCTCTCCTGCTCTCTCGCTCTCTCGCTCTCTCGCTCTGCTCTGTTTGCGGGTACGTGGGAATTGCTGAAGGCTGTTTTGGGCTGTGGAAAGCTCAACTGCTGGGCCTTCTCTGAAGCTGAAGCCGAAAGGCGGCACGGCGAGAGCTCTCAAGGCTCAGAACTCTGAAGAACTCGCAACGCATCGTGTCATGCACCTTGGTACAGGGCTTGCGAGGTCTCGACTTTTAGCGTCGAACGACAGACTCCCGGGGTCGTAAGCACAGACACGAGGGATCACAGGCACGTGGCAAGCTCGGCCGCAGACCTCTTCGCATCTGACGTCACCGTCACCTTTACAGCTTGAGCCGACCGGGCCGAAAGTTCGAAAGGCCCTCTCCATGTCCTGAGATGCTGGCCTCACCAAGGAGCCAAAGGCCACAGGTGGGGGAGAAGTATTCCACACGGTCTCCGTCGGCGTAGGCCGGCAGAGCCTCGAGCCCTTGGGGCCCTTGGGGAGCGAGGAAGCCGACCTCGCATCGGCAGAGGCACCGCGAGGCGAAACGCAAAAAAATCGCGAATCTCGAAAGAAAAGGCTCGGAGGTCAGCAGCTGCGGAGGCTCTGGGCGGCATGGGATCGTCCAGCGACCCTCGTTCTTGCGGAACCTGTCAACAGGCCCGGCCCGAGCCCCCCAGCGCTTCCTTTGGAATCGGACCTGTTCTCCGTCGTCTCCATTTTGCAAGTCCTGAGAAGGGGAGCTCGAAAGCCTGCAATCCGAGACCTGCCCCTCTTTGCCCGGTGTCTTCCGAAAACCGCATCCCATCACTTCACCATACCTCACCATACCTCACCTCACACGCCCCTGGAAAAGCGGAATCCTGCTCTCCGTCAGCATCGCCGGCTTCTAAGTCCTGAAGGCATCGAAAGGAGCCCAGCTCTCCGCGATCGCAACCGCGATCGCAACCGCGCCTGCCGAGCATCGACTTGGAGCTCCTGGTGCCTGACGCGAAGCGAAGCGAAGCGCAGAGACACACACGAGAGGAGAGAGGTGCGCTGTCTCTCAAGTAGGCATCTTGCGGAGCTTCACCTTTGCCGTTGAGCCAATTCTGAACTTGCAGCAGGTTCAGCTTCCAGACCTAGGCTCTGGAAGCTCTGGAAGCTCAGCTGGCTCCCCTCTTGCGTACACGGAGGGCTCTGGGCTCTCGAGTTGCTGAGCGCAGCGGCCACTCGCACCTTGGCCTTTGCTCGTGTCCAGCGCGAGAAGGCGGACTTGATGGAGTAGCGGCTCGCCATTTTCGGCAGCTCACCCTCCGCCAAACCACCATTCTGGGCCTCCGCGTCGGCTCCCAGTCCTCGCAGGCACACACTGGGCGAAGGGGCGCGAAGGCACTCGCTCGGGCCCGGGCCCGGGCCCGAGCCTTGCGTGGACGCCTCCAGCACTCTCCACAGCTCTCCACAGTCCAGCACAGCACTGCACCCCGCAACTGCGACGTCCGCCTCGGACTTGGAGAGCCCGGAAGGCACCGCATCGAACCTGAGAAGAGGCGGGGAGGCGGGGAGGCTTTGAGCTGTTTTCGGGAGCGGCGCGGCACGCTTTGAGTCCTCGGCTCCAGCTCGCGGCCCGCGCTCCGCCGCTCGGGGACGCTGACCCGGGCCTGCAGCACCGATTGATTGCCCGGCTCAACCCGGGCTCCGCGAAGGCCCCGAGCCCGCCTTGTGGCAAGTTTGGGAAGTTCGCCGCCAGAGGCAAGAGCAGAGAAGGCCCAGAATCAAGAGGAGCAGAACCACGCAGACCGCCTAAAGAACAGCCGACGTGTTTTGACTGCCTCAGGCGTGCCTTGCACCACAAAGAAACCCGCCTGGACGCGGCCTCAGAAAAACCAACAAAGCAGGAAAGCCGTAAAAAGCCACCAGAAAAGATTGCGTGCTGAGGCCAAGGACAACTCAGGGCCACATCCAGCACTTTGCCAGCTTCTCCAAGCGGACAAACCACGCTCCGATGCTCGTCCATGGCACTAAGCAACCATCTTGATCTGAAAAGTCATGTCATGCGACCTCGCCTGTCTGTATCTAACGGCCCACAATACAAGTCAAAAAATAGATCGCAAACCTTCTGAGTACGGCTTGCATCTTCCATGCACGGGGCGAGCACCTTCCACAGCTGCAATCAATCAACCTTGATGAATCAGGGTTGTGCGTTCGCAAGCGTACTCAGATTTTTTGAAAGTGGAATCCAATCAGGAAACTGCTGTGGCACAACACATGCCCTTCCGTCAACCGCAGAAAGCCAGCGCATCTGCTGATCGCACTCGAGATAGGAAGGAGTATCTTGGGTGTAAATTGCAACAAAATGCTTTGAAGCAGGCAGTTTTCCTGTCGAGACAGTGCCACTCAACATGGCTTCAGCTGGCTTGGTGTCTCGCGGCAAGAAGCACACTGGCATGTGCGAAGGGGTGCGAAGCACTTGCATCGGAAATCCCCTTCGCAAAGGTCCAAGCTCGAAAAGTGTAAAGACGGTTTTTGCCCATCAGCTTGACTCGACTGTACAGTGGAAAGCAAACCAGTGCTTCGGATCGATTAACCACCAACAAAACAAAAAGCTCTAACTCAGTATTCCACCGCTGTTAAGCCTCTCGAAACCTTTTGTTTTTTGTGCAATGCGCCGAATATCAACAAATGTCATCCAATAGGTATGCAATCGAAACGACTATAAAGAAGAGAAACATCAATATGGGAGTCACATTTTTTAGCCGTGTTCGGTCTGTGTGCAATGTATGTTCTTGCCACCAACTGCAACGAGAAACTTCGATCTTTAACATGTTCACGGGATGAATGACATGATCTCAATCTACCAAGAGCAGACACTCGTTTTGGGGATTCGGATGACAAGTCGAAAGAAGCTGTGTGTTGAAGCAACCAACGCTCGCTGTACAAGAATGGCCACCACAGTCCACACGAAAACATGCAGCCACGTTCCTCATGACTTTCGTTTCAGCTCTGACTCAATGTTTCGCTAAAGTTTGTACTGCAATCGGTCTCTCTTTTGTACGTGGTGGTTATGAAACGTTGAAAGCGGTGCTCTGTCGGGTACTTCGTGCGTTTGTTTTGGGTGCAGGTGCATGGGTGCGGGTGTAAGGTGCAACGGGTGCGTGTGTAGGGTGTAACTGGTGCGTGTGTGGTGTGCAATGGGTGCGGGTGTAGGGTGCAATGAGACGGGTGTAGGGACTGTAACGAGCCACGCATGACCTCCTTGCCTGCTCCCTTTGCACAGACGAATAACGGAAGAGTCGCCAAGCACAGTGACAGGGGAGCTCCAAAGACTGTTCACTAAGGTTTATCTCCCTCTACCCTGAGCCATGTGTAGGCCCATCAAGCCTCTCAAGCAAGAGCCCTGCATCTGGGAATTTGGAATCGAGGGCTCAAGAAAGGACGGTGCTGTCTTATCGAAAAACAAATCACTTGTCTTAACTTGGAACAGCCAGAAGCCCGCTGGCTCGTGACATCAGTCCCCAGTCCCACGTCTGCTTTTGTCTTGGCCGCGAGTGGCATCAGCTTTGGATTCCCCAGTGTCGGCCTTGGCCACGGTATGGGTCGAGGTAAAGGCAACCTATCCTGCCGGTTCGGGCTTCAGCTTCAGAGCACCAGCCCTGCTAGCTGTCAACCCAGCCAGACCAAGCCAGAGGCCCACGAGGCCCGCGAGCAGCACCATGGTGCCAACTTTGCCACCACG